TGAGCTTTACTGATCTTCACATATCATTTTGGGGATATGCATTAGAAACAGCTGCCAGAGTACTAAACAGAAGCCCGTCCAAAGCAGTTGAGAAGACACCATATGAGATATGGACTGGAAAAGTTCCAAAGTTGTCTTATCTCAAGATTTGGGGTTGTGAAGCCTATGTAAAACGTTTACAAGGTGATAAACTACAACCTAAATCAGACAAGTGTTTCTTCGTGGGCTATCCAAAAGAAACAAAAGGGTATTACTTCTACAATCGCGAAGATAACAAAGTGTTTGTTGCTCGCGATGGTGTCTTTCTAGAAAAGGAATTCCTATCTAGAAAGCCAAGTGGGAGTAAAGTGGTTCTCGAAGAAATTCGAGACGAGCAACAAATGGATGTGGATAACACCACATCAGAGGCGAGGGCGCATGAGTCGATTAATCATGCGTCGGAGCAAGCTAATTCGACTAGCAAGACTCCTATAGTCCCACTTGAACCTAGTTCTTGCGAAAATCTTCAAAGAGTTGGAGAGAATATTTCTATTGTTGCTCCTACCCCACGTAAGTCTGTCAGAATCAGAAACAAACAGTTTGTTGAGGTTCTGATAACTGAGGATTCTGAAATCTTCTTACTGGAGAATGAAGAACCTACTACCTACAAGCAAGCTTTGGCGAGCCCCAACTCAGATAAATGGCTTGAGGCCATGAAGTCCGAAATGGAATCAATGTCTGAAAATGAAGTGTGGACCCTAGTTGACTTGCCTGATGGGGTAAAACCTATTGGTTGCAAATGGGTTTACAAAATTAAAACAGACAAGGATGGAAATGCCTACATCCACAAAGCAAGACTGGTTGCAAAAGGATACAGAAAGATTCATGGTATTGACTATGATGAAACCTTTTCCCCAGTAGCCATGCTTAAGTCCATTCGGATTCTTCTAGCGATTGCTGCATTTTTCGATTACGAAATTTGGCAGATGGATGTCAAAAACCGCCTTCTTGAATGGGTTCTTGACGGAGGAAGTGTATATGATACAACCTGAGGGTTTTGAAGATCCAGAAAATCCTAGAAAGGTATGCAAACTTCAGAAATCCATTTATGGATTGAAGCAAGCATCCAGGAGTTGGAATCTTCGTTTTGATAAAGCAATCAAACAGTTTGATTTTATCAAAAGTGAAGAGGAACCTTGTGTATACAAGAAGTCTAGTGGGAGCAGCATTGTCTTCCTAGTCTTGTATGTAGATGACATACTACTCATGGGAAATGACATACCAATGCTTGAGTCAGTCAAGGAATGGTTGAAGAGTTGTTTTTCCATGAAGGACTTAGGAGAGGCTGAATACATATTGGGGATCAAGATACATCGAGATAGATCTCGAAGGATAATTTGATTAAGTAAAGAAACTTATATTGATAAGGTTCTTGATAGGTATTCCATGAAAGACTCTAAGAGAGGATTTCTCCCCATGTCTCATGGCATTACGCTCAGTAAATCTCAATGCCCTAACACGACAGAAGAGATGAGACGTATTGTTGATAAACCTTATGCTTCGGCAATAGGGTCAATCATGTATGCCATGATATGTATGAGGCCGGATGTTGCATATGCTCTGAGTATGTGTAGCAGGTTTCAGGCAAATCCAGGAGAAGCACACTGGACAGCTGCCAAGAACATCCTTAAGTACTTGAGAAGGACTAAAGGAATGTTTCTAGTATATGGTGGCAAAAATGAGTTGGTTGTCAAAGGTTATACTGATGCGAGTTTCCAAACAGATAGAGATGATTTCAGATCACAATATGGATACATTTTCTGTCTGAATGGAGGAGCAGTGAGCTGGAAGAGTTCGAAGCAAAGAACTGTCGCAGACTCTACAACAGAATCAGAATATTTAGCTGATGTTGAAGCAGCTAAGGAAGCAGTTTGGATTAAGAAGTTCCTAACTGAGCTGGATATTATACCAAGTGCTCAAAAGGGAATCGAGTTGTATTGTGATAATAATGGCGCCATTGCTCAGTCAAAGGAGCTTAGGTCACACTTCAAATCCAAACATGTAGAGAGGAAATATTACCTCATTCGAGAGATCGTTGACAGAGGAGATGTCAAGATGTGCAAAATTCATACGGATGAGAACATTGCTGATCCACTGACTAAACCCCTTCCACTTCCAAAGCATGAGAAACATGCTAGTGAATCTGGATTGAGGCAAATGATGTAATTAGAAGTTGTATTTATTTTTGGAGAAAAATAAGTTACATATGTAATACATTCATTTGCAGAATTATGTTTAATTAGAAATTTTATTATTTCTCTTATTTAATGATGGTTTTCAATATTAAATAAAATGTCCAAAATAATTATAGATTGATGGGCTCATCGGGTTGATGACCTGGTGAATGAAACCCCACAGGTGAACAAAATCCATATGTTATTTAAAGTTCATAGTTCATAATCATTAAATTGGACATAAATGATTTCTAATAATGGACTAGCATGTAAGATTTATTGGATAGCGCAGTTTCATGGGCTATAGGAGCATAGTGAGGCTCGGTCAATCACATAGATATGCATGAATGATGCATGATTGAACTATAGACCTACTTTGAAGTCCAAGTATAGAACTTCCCGATATATTAGTGGATTCCTTTGACATGAGTGGAACATTGATTTCATTCAATGGATGTTATAGCTGTGGTACACTCAAACGTCTGTCCGTAACTGGAGATTATAAAGGGTGTTTCCCGGTTATTTTAGAAATTGAGTGGGAGCTTTGGTAGACACAAGATTGAATTGAGTCTACCTATTTAATTAGGAATGTGTCTTGGCCTCTTGGAGAGGGAGAATTCAGAAAAATGCATGGCCGTGCTCAAATGGATTACATAGTAATCATTTGTTTTGTAATTCTCACTCAGTTTTCAAGAAAAGATTTGTAGACTAATATGATCACGACATGAGATGCAATCATATTATCAAATCGACACACATTAACTTAAGAAATTTGAATATTGCGCACTTGTCTCAGACAAGTGGGAGATTGAAGGAGTTATGTCTTCGATAAGTGCAATTACTAGATATATCAAGGATCACTATTATGGAGATAATAAGTTCATTCTATAGGGTCGTCAATGTTTGGTGCTAGATATGACAATTGATCTTTGGGCTAGCTTAATAGCCCAAAGCCTTATAGAATGGATCCTACAAGGTCACACATAAGAGTATTGGGTTAAACAAGTTAGAGGCCCATTATTGGGCCTCATGAGTTCATGACATACCATGTTGATGATTGGGCTTGGATAATTAGAAGAGTCTAATGGGTTTTGGACTTGACATGGTTTTATTTCTAGATATGATATATAAATATAAACCATGCCTAGGGTTGCAACACAGAACAATTGACATACAGTAAATTGTCACACAAGCAACCAAGCATCCCAAAACCCTAATCCTCTCTCTCCCTATTCGGCCCTCACTCTCTCTCCTCCCTGTCCGTACGACTCTCCCTTGTGGGCGGCGCGTGTGGTGGCGCGTGGGTGGTGGTGTGGTGTGTTCGTGACTCGGATCTCCGTTGAAGGTTGATTGAAGCGTTCAGTCACAACTAACTAGCATTAGTGGAGGTTTAATCCGTGCTCGTGGACTAAGTAGAGGAATCACACGTGGGGTTCTTGTTCTCCTTATTGTTCTTGCTCGATCACTTGTGGAATCACGCTTCAAAGGTATTATTCTTACTCTTTATGTGTTGTGCATGAGATCCTTGGTTAGGTGCTATATGAATATGATTCATGATTATTTCCGCTGCGTAGTACCTATTATCCCCTACAGTTACCTCCTTCATAGGGCTAGTATTCTCCATTACTTCATCAAGCCAGCTCTCAACTGAGACATCCTCAGAGGCAATGCTCTGTTCTTTCCTCTTCGTATAATTCCTTGTTTTGGGTCCAGAATTCTGCCTTGCTTTCTGCTTTTTCTTCGATTTGGAGCTTGAACTCTTGCTTCCCTTACCCTTCTTCCTTTTTGCCATTAAAATCGGGCTGAAAATCGAAGATCAAAATTGTGGGTTTCAATCGGATTTTCCACTTTCTCTCTCTAGTTCTTGGGAATTTCTCTCTCTACTTTCTAGTTCTTGGCCTGGGAGATTGTTTTCAAGTAAACTGAGCGGCGGCGACGTGAGGGAGGGGAATTAGGTTCGCCGACGCGGGGGAAAGGGGTTTGGGCGTCGGTTGGTGGTTAGGGGAGGGTTTTTCGAGGGAGATAGGGGGTTTTAGTGTTCGGGGACGATGGTTCAAGGGAAGGGGGAGAGCGCCGACGGGGGTTCTGGCCGGATACCACGTCGGCACAGGGCATCTGGTGGGTTTTCGCGTCGATGTCGGGGTTTATGTCAGATTACGTGCCGACGGGGGCTGTCGGGACAAGGTGGTCGCTGAGCTGCCACGTCTTTGGGTGGTCGGATTTTTTTATATATTTTTTTTTTATTTTATAATAATTATTTTTATTTTATGATAATTAGTTAAATAATTATTATAAAATTAAATAATAATTTAAAAGAGAACCAGTTATATGTTGCCACATGGCATTATTAGGCTTATGACTAACGGTGTTTAAGGTCCGTTAGTCAATTATGGCATGTTGTGCATTTTTCTAAAACTGAATGGTATATGGTGAATTAAAAAATTTTGGGTGTTATATGGTTAATTAACGTTAAACTCAATGGTATATGGTGAAAAATCCAAAAATTCTATATAGTGCTCTGACTGCTCTCTCCGTTTTTTTTAAGCTACACTTGCTAATTTTCCCTATTTTCGTCCCTTTTTTATTTTTATTTTTTAAAAGCTATACTTTCTCTTTTGGGAATTTCTTATAATTTGATACTTCCTCTTATTTTATCATTTCTCACTCCTTTGATATATGAACACTAATACAACTACAAGTATATATGAACAATTTTCAAAACAGTATAGTCCTCAAACTAGTTCAATGAGCTGGTCAATTTCTAACAATAATCAGCAATCCAGTAAATAGGAGCTTCCCTGTTTTCGACAGGATGATCACAAGTTACAAATTACTTTCCCGTTTCAAAAAACATACACACAGCTAGCATATTAGATTGTACGAGCAAGGAGTGAGCAAAACAATCCATGTACATGTCGCAATTAGTTTAACATACAAGATTTGAGATAAATGATTGACAATTTCCAAGTATTATCTTCTGGTAGCAAAAATCTAACTACAAATTACTTCGCACAAAAGCGCACCACTGCTATACTGCTATTTACTAAAAATAACATCTTTAAGCATTGAAAAGGCTCCAATCATTGACTTTGAAGCTAGAAACAGAAAGCTTGAAGACCTCAGCCATTGGCATACATCCAGATTGTTCAGCGGGCGATACTACTCCAGCACCAACAGTACTAGCACTCTCACTTAAAGGACTGAAATATTGAAAATGAAAATTTCTTGTCAGTTACAACAAGACCCCCAGATAACTAGTTAAGATAGAATTGTTGGCTTAGTTTTAGTAAAGGGCAGTGAAGGAGGTGAGATTTGGCCCATTTGGGTGTACTACCCCCCAATATAACTAGTAGCTAGTACCTTCAAGATACTATTTTTGTAAACCCCTGAAAGTCTGAAACAGTGAAACCAGTATATATGAAGTTCCATCCAACAAGAAATAAAAAAAAAAAAAAAAAAAAAAAAAAAAAAAAAAAAGCACATAACCGGACTAGAATACATGATCTGTTGATCATATGCAGCACAGTATAGTGTTATGTGCTTGGATTTTGGATATAAGGCGGGCTGACTGTTGAGGTTTATTGAGAAGTATCAGTATATATCGGAGAGCATATCTTGTTCAGGTGTTCAGCAAAAAATGGTGTCTGCCTGATTTTTGAGCTAAGTAGATAAGCTCAAATGCAGCTAAAAGAGTAAAAGAGATTGGGTGCTGCTACCAGAGTGTGGAAGAAAAATATATATACAATGAAGGTTTGCCAAGCTTACCTAATAACAACAGGCTCATAGGCAGTGATCAAGATATCTGTGCCAACTTCCTTAAGACGCAGATTGGCCAAATAAACCTGAATTTGGCCACAGTAGCACACAATGAATAGTCAATAATTTATGAATTGTAGATCTGCACTGACATTGGACAAAGAAATAAACTATAAAACTATAATGATAGAATCTCTTACCCTTAATATATTTTGTGCCTCTCTTCCTTGACGCCCCTTAGAAATGGCCTGCAAAATCATGACAAAACTAGAAATTAGCAACCTAGATCTTAGAGATTACAAAGCCTGTCTTTCATTTTCAGCAACACAAGAAGGGCTTCACATTAACAATCACCAAACCAACTTGAATCTGAATATTGCAGCCCATGATCCTAAATCTTAAAAACATCCCAGTTAAATATGATAATGCAATAGCAATGAAGCTCAAAAGTTCTATGCCCGCAAAGTTTTTCAGATCTATAATCAAAACTAGGCAAGCAAGAGATCAATACAAATTTCCCATCAGATATTTTCAGACACTATAAAGAGCATGTAAAACTAAGCATACAAAAGTACCAATGGAATGAAGTCCTGAACCAAATGTAAAATAAAGTGTTACTTAATATTTGAAGATTGTCCTACAAACGAAGACATCATTTCTAAAACTAAAAATGGAAGCAAAGTGAATACAGTAATAGATTAATTGCACACCATTTGACCAACAGCACTGGTGACGACAGCAGGTGTGCTTCCGTAGCACAATCCCGGAACCTCCAAGACTCCTGATTGCTCAATCAACTGCACTTGACACAAGATCAATCATCAACATATTTTGTTAGTTTAAAAAAATGGAAATTAAACAATAACTTTCAAAATTTTAGGAAAACAAAGATTAAATGATTATAAACCAAAAAAACATAAAATGAACAAGCCACTAATGCCATTTTGAGGAATTAACAAGCAGAATCGAATAATACCAGAACCACTGAAAACTTTGGCACTATTGAACTAAAACTTGCATGAATTCCTTATACTCAAAGATCAAACAATTCAATTCAAATACTATATTTTAAGGGCGCATAGACTGCATGGATACAGCTCAAGAGCACATATCGGTATCAGTTACATGCACATAAGACTTTGTGTTATAAGCAACTCATCTGCACGGCCCAGCATATTTCACTAGCAAAATTTAAGGATGGGAATTAGATAACTAATGGTGATATGAAAATATCCATTTTAGACACCTGTTTCTCCCTAACAATGAAATTAATGAGCTACTTTGTCATTCTTTAAGTGGCTTCAATGTTAAAGAGTGCTGCAGTGTGGAAAGTATATCCCCTCCTACTTGGATTTTCTAATTGCAGGTCAGATTTTAAAGCCATCTTTCATAACCTTCAATGCAATATACTACGGCAAATTTTGGACAGCTAAGTTGCCAGCTTCGGATTCCTTGCATATTCCAGTCCATAAATCCAAGTGATGTATCTAGCATCATTAGCAACTATAGCTTCTAATGTCACTAAATTCATCATGACTCTATATTCATATATATAATCAAAGGAAATTCTCTCACCTACTAATCCTAATTCACTTTTAAAAACAACAAGTCCATCACAGGTCAACTTTCAAATTTCACGAAACTTAACAAACTCACCATACCACCTTCAGCATCCTGTTCCCTAGCAAGGTCTTGAAGGAACCACACGGCACTACCTTCATCGGCAACCTCTTGCTTCAGCTCTAACAATTCAACAATGAGACTTTCATCTCGACTAGGATCAGCAAACGCTTCCTATACACAGAAACAAAATCCACATTGAACCTTCCATTAATTTGTAAACACCCACAAAAACTATCACTACAAATTTAGAACTCCTAAAAACTAATAAAAAAAAATAATAATAATAGAATTCAACCTGATGATCGGGAACTTCCCGTACATTGCTCAAATCCTGTATATATAAACCAAAATTGCACACAAAATTTAAAATCCAAAATATTGTTAATTTCCCACAAAGGTAACTTAAATAAAAAGCAAGGAATTGGGAAATTTGGCATGTTAAACCTGGAATCTAGCAGGAAAGATCATTGATATAGCCCCACCAAATAAAGGATGCTCAGTACATGCATTTTCCACTATTTTTAAGCAAAAAACTGCAAATGCTACTAATTAAATTATGCACACATTTGACCAGAAGAAGCAAGACAATATCTACAATCCAAATAAGACATAGGAGTGAGAAATTTTGAGAATTTTGAAAGCAAATCAAACACTCCATTGTGAGCTACATGCCCTATCCTGAAAGGAATGCCTTAAAGGGGAACACTCTCTTCAAAATATGAATCTTTTACCACATTGAATTGAAAATAATTACTAATTAAAAAATGCAACTTGATAGAATGACAAGAAAAAAAAAAAATCAATCAAATTCTTATAGGTTTTACTGGCATGAATTCATCACCTATTAGTCTATTACAAAATTCATCCCTATCTGAATCACCAATCTTCCATGGGTATCAAGTGCTTGACAGATTAAGTACTAAAACCAAATGCCCTCATAACTAAAATATGCACATTCCTAAAGGACCTAAACAACTAATGGCTAAGACTCAACATAGAATCAAGGTATTTTAAATGACTTAAGATGAGTTAAGGGCAGGCTGGGTTACACAAAACAGGCTTGGTGGACATAATTTTTAAAAATTTCACACCAAAAATTTATCAACAGATTTATAGTTTGAATTTCATTTAGATGAAATATCAACCGGTAAGTTCATTGATAAATCGTTGAATTGAATTGAAGGGCTTTTGGAAAATTGTGTTAGATTTGTGGAAGTGCACTTGTAAGAGTCGAACACAATAGGATATGCAATTTATATCCCTTGGAAATCCTGAAGTGAGGCACGAGCAACTGTGGTTGAGCGTCTCTAAAAATTATTAAAATTTGGGTTGTAAAAATCAAATATAAATCATTCCCATTTACGATAGTATACTCACATACATAGAATAAAGTTTGTTTTCATGAAATGGAGATGTTTTAATATCAGAAAAGACCCTTTGGAAAAAAAAAAAAAAAAAAAAAAAACACTCCGGCAGCATGTAACACGATCTAAAGTCTAAACCATGCTTATAGTTCACAAAACAAATAGCCTTGACTCTTGAGTTCTACTGTTCTAGTGAAAGAGCCTAAGAGGTGTCTATATGGGGTCTTCTACCCTTCGATTTGCTCCAACACTCCTAAGCTAAACCACAAATAATTAAAAAGAAAATGGAAAATTAGATTCCTCCTCGGGCATTTAACCAAAAATTACAAAGAGGCCATATAAGCTAAACTTAGTTTAAAGTAAGATTCTCAAGTTAATTTTACTTTTAAAATTATTACCTCTATACATCAAGAATCAAATTAGAGTGTTATATACTTGTAATCAAAATATGAATTAGATTCTAGAGACTCTGAGATACAAGTATAAAACATATCATAGAAATCATTCATTTCAAAGCTAGTATCTTAAAGCCCCATATATATGTTCAATACTTTATATACTACCTCCGTTACACATTATTTGCAACTATTAGACATTTTTCCTCCCTACTTAGTACTATTTTCAATAAATCTGGAAATTTTAATACAGAGTAATTTGCTAAAATTATTGTATTGCAGTATTTGATTATCAGTTTATCACTCTGTATTAAGCATAAAAACAGAATTATAATAGTACTTGTAAGTTGTAACTAAGCTGATCTTATGCCCAAACTTAAGAGTTTCAAGTATTCATAGATAAAAATCATCTCATACAGTCATACTAATAATAATAAATTGAAATACTATATTATACAAGTATGTTTTAATGAACTAAAAGCTTATTTTACAAATATAGTTTTTTTATTCATGAAATCAAAACTTGTATTTATTAAAATATACAGGTATCGAGGATTTAATTTGAATAATAAGATGATTGAAAACTAAAATTCAACCATATGAATCAATTCACAGAGTATAATTCAGATAATTGAAAATGAGAAAAACAGAAGGAATGAAAAGCATATAAGTTAGGGTTTGGTATATAATCTAGCATCATAATTCATCAAAAAAAGGGGGGGAAAGAGGAAGAGAAGGCGCCAGCAGCAATTGTTTGGTAAAAACGACAAAAGAGAAGAGAGAAGAAGGAGGAAGATTACCTTGTAGTGGGTGGTTGGGTGGTCGCCGGTCCTTTTTCCGGCGAGTAAGGAGACTCACAAGGGATGAGCTCTAGTGCAAATTGAAATTCCTATGTACATGTACTTTAAAAACAATTAAAAATTAATAAAGGAAAATGCTATACAATACATAAGGGATGGGACGGGTGTCCGTACTGTTAGTATTAACGATTCGGGTACCCGATAATTAAAATCCCTAAAAGTGATATCCATAATTCAAACCGATAAGCTCGGGTACCCGGATTTTAGGTACTTAGATTTTCGGATTGGTTATCGAGTATCCAATAAGATATCATAATGATAATTAAACTTAATTATGTAGTTATTATGATATAATTTACTACTAATTAACAACAATATCATATGATTTGACCAAATTATTATAAGAGTTTAGATTTTAAAAAAATAGATTTAAGTAGAGAAAAAAAAAAATAATGCTTATCGGAACGGATCGGGTAACCGTTAATTTTAAAATAATACCCAATAACCATACCCGATAACAAATTATCTGAACGGGTACCCAAACCGTTATGGTTATCATATCGAGTACCCTAATTTTCGAAACGGTCACGAATTGGTTTTTCGAGTTTTCGGGTTTTCGGGTAGTTTTGCTCATCCCTATATTACATAGAACTGTAATACTATATAAGCAATACACTCTTGAAAACTATGTAAAATTAAAGTAATTAGAGTGTTTTTGTCATAATTTCTTAAATTTAAACAATTTTCTAAAGAGCATTACCCATTAATACAAGCATAAATATCATTAAGTCAATTTGTGCTAGATTTTGGGTCATTTGATTCGAGTGGTTTAGATTATTTGGGTCATTACAGCATACGATAATTGGGTCAAAGTGGGTCAGATTTAAGTTTCTCTCAATAACTCAAGTTTGTTACCGGGTCGGGTCAAGAATTAGTGGGTCTAATCAATGAAAGATCAAAGAATGCATTGTACCCTTTCATTATAATAAAAAAAAAAGTTCTTCACAAGATTTGAACTTGCAACCTCTAAATTTAGAAATGAGTGTCTTACCACCAAGTTATGTATGTTAAGTCATATTTTGATACAAAATATTACTATCATACTATGTATAACAACTTTAATTATAAAAAAAAATATAATTACTCGTGACATTGTCCGGGCCAAAATACTAGTTAATAGTTATACATGGAAAAAGGTAAGGGAAGAAGCTATATGTAGAGCGATCAATCAGTATACAATTTGAAATGCCACTTTATTGCATCTTTTTATTGGCATACGAATAACATTTTTTACCAGGTGACTAAAGGTGGGCATCGTGCCGTGCCGGGTCATCGCGGGCCTAGGGCTGGCAAACCCTGACCCGACACGAAAACCCGACCCGAACCCGACCCGAAGTTACTGAGAGAGACCCGAACCCGACCTGAACCGAACCCGAACAACCCGAATTCGACCCGATTTGACCCAAATTTCATATTTCGTAATAATATTAAGTTTTACACTATTTTTAATAGTTTCTAAGCATAACCCGAAATCGACCCGAAATCTGACCCGAACCCGACCTGCTGACCTGAATTGCCACCCCTACGCGGGCCGTGCCTAGGGTGGCTCATGTCGGGCCACCTTTTGACACATCCTAGCCCACGGCACGGCCCGCCTCGATTTTTCCATTTTTTTTAAAATTTTAAAAAATCGATATATGTTTTTTTTAATAACTTTTAAAATGAGTATATTTAAATAATTTTATTGAATTATGTTTATGTTTTTTGTATTATTTTATTACTCCGTACTGCGTATTATTTAACAAAAAGTATAGTAACAATGCATATAATTAAAAAAAAATTACGAGTGCGATAAGCCGATAACTCAAAAATTATGAATAACTTATTTCTTTATATGTCGATACGATAAATCGATAATACAATAATTTATAATGATAATTTAAAATCGTACAATAATTGGTGAATGCCTTAATTTTATAGCTTATTTTATTATACGGGGTTCGATAATACAAAAATTGTACAATAACTTTGCACGGGTCGTGCCGTGCATTGAGCTGTGCCTCACAGGCTGCGTGCCGTGCTATGGGCCGTGTCGACGGGTCATGCCTGTTTTTCAAAAATTTGTTCACGGCACGGCCCACAAGTGGGCCACCGTGCCTCTGGCAGGCTCGTGCCGGCACGGCCCATGCCCAACTCTACATGTGACGGAAACTCATTCAAAGAATAGCACCAAAACCTCTCATCAACTTTTGTCCGACACCCACAACATTCAGAGTGCAACTAGGTGCATAGCTCCTATATGTTTACAAAACATATAGGAGGGAAAATTGTAAATTTGACAAGCTTTTGGAAAAAGTTCACTCTATAGTGGTACATTATAATGTACCATTATGCATGTATAATGTACTATTAAAATATAAATTGTCTGAATAATACTTTTTGTGTACTATTATGCATGTAGTGGTACTTTTTACCGTCATACACGTTGAATATTTCCCCCCAAAATATTATAACCTATCACCTATTATACATGTAATGGTACTTTTTTCATCCTATATGTTTGCTAAACCCATAGGAGCTATGGAGTAAATACAAATTGAAGGTACTAACGTTTGCCAAAAGTTGCAGATAAGGTACTAACGTTTCAAAAGTTGCAGATAGAGTACTCACCACATAATTGACCTTCTACAACAGGTTAACCAAAAAAAAAAAAAAAAAAAGGAAAATTAAAATTCTGACATTAATAAAGAGGGGACTAAAGTTTGCCATTGTTCAAGAAATCTATCTATCAGTTAAATTATAGTTGGTACAACTCCAAAAAAACTGACTTCCATAGATACTCATCTCCATAGCCATCTTCTCCACCTTGCAGGCTTGCATCTATTAAAAAAAAAATCAGAAGAAGCAATTACAAAAATTACAGGAAATACAAAGTGGTCTTAATTCATGTCTTCTCCTTAATTCATGTACAACTAAACATGGTTTTAATTCATCCATATTTTCTGCCACAATAAGCACTCTCTTAATAAGCATATCATAGCATTTGATTCATGATAAAATAAGTGCATAATAATAATAACACAACAAAAGAAGTGGCTTCATTCATACATATACATTTGTTCCATTACAAAATGGCTATACAAGCCAAGCCATCCATTTCAACCTAAGCATTTTCATGGTAGTGACAAATCCCAAAAGATTATAAATGATTTGTCACTTTAACAACAAAAACCTACTTAACCGTGACAATGCACTCCTACAATTCACATCTTAAAACTTAAAAAAAATAAAAATAAGAACAAACTTAAATATAGCAGCTCCTAACCCCAAAAACCATCTAGCTGCACATACCCCCCACCCAACCTAACAACAACAGCCTACACATCCTCCTTGAAGAGCAGAGGGAAGCCATCAAAATAAACTGTCATGTCATTGTTGATCCAGGCATGAAAGTCACGGCCATCATTGCAGATGAGGTCGTTAAGGATCCACTCGTTGATAGAGGCCCTGGTACAGAAAAAGGGTTGGAGTCGGGCTAGGTGGCGGGTCTTCCACCACAGACGCCATTTCCTGCAAACCTTCTTCACATTATCCCGACTACCCCAGTCCAGCTTGGAGAAGACATGGACCACAAGCAAATCGGGGTTGCTGAAAATTGGGTGAGCATCGGAAAGAGCGTCCATACCTAGGTAAATTAATGGAGTTAGACAAGGTATTTTCCATGGAAAAACCTACTCTGTTTCAGTAAGCCAAAACCCTAGAAATAATTCTCAAAAAATTCTACCCAACAACAACACAATTCAATTTTGATAATCACCCACAACAACAGAATTACGCAAACAAAATACAAGATCATGATAACTAAAACAAGTAAAATCACTTTCAAACAAAATTCGCCAAAAAAAAAAAAAAAAAAAAAAAACAACAGAACAAGCATACAACACCATTAATGGCGAAATTAAGAAGGTGAAGACAAAAAAAAGGGAATATACCTAGAGTAGATTGAAGCTCAGCCAACTTTGCTTTCTTGCAAGAAGATTGACAAGCACACTCCTACATTAATGGCGATTTTATTGAAGAGGAAGTACAAGTTTTTTTTTTGGAATGAAATGCTCTGGTTTTTATCTGAAAAGGAAGTGATGAGGAAGCCAATGGGGTGAAAGAGTGAATAAAAAGGCATTAACCTTTCCAAAAATCGCGCAATTGTCAGTGTAATGATGGCTTTTCACTTCCCAAAGTACAGTTGAGTGGACAATTAAGCTTTTCTTTTATTTTTTTAAAAAGGGAAATAAGAAGTAACCAGTTATAAGCAATTGCAACCGGATTGTTAACCTGGAATAGTGGGTTCATTACCATCTTTGCAACTTTTGAAATGTAGTACTCTCTTTGCAACTTTTGGCAAACGTTAGTACCTTCAATTATATATTACTCGGAGCTATGCGTTAAGGGTTAATCCAGCACTGAATACCATAAACTTTGTGACCAATACTTTGGTCATGAGGAGAGAGAATAAAAGATTAGCATAAAAATATTGAAAACAAATATTAAAAAAAATGGGGGTTTTGGGTGATGACCAAGGCTTCCCCAGGACCATAACTGAATTGTTGGGCAAAGCATGGAAGAGTGCCACGTGGTAAAATAATTTCCATTGTGATGAGATTGAAGAGAGAGAATGTATGGTGGGATATGGTAAAAGTAGGAGAGAGAAAGTTCATGACCAAACTTTCTTGGGCAATCATTGGGATATTAAAATGTGTGTGGTCAGGAAATTTGGTCATTGATGAAATAGAATAGAGAATAATAATAAATAATTTGATGACCAAAATTTTTTTGTCATCCAATGACCTTGCTCTTAGGGGTGTAATTTGCTTGGTTACAATTAGGGTTGTTCATCGGTCCAAGACCAAATCGGATCGACCCAGATTGGACCAAAGATTGAAATTGGAATTTTAAATCAGATCGATTAAGTTAGGATCGAACCCGGACCAGACCGAAAGAATCCGTCCAAAACCCAGACCGGACCGTTTGGAATGATTTAAGATTTTCTTAAAAAAGAATACTAAATTTTTTTTAATAAAGTTATGGAAAACACGAAAAAACTATATTT